TATTATAAATATGGAGGATGGGCTCTTGAATCCAGACTGGAAAACAGGATGCAACCCCCCCAGTACAGCAAAACATGTTTGCAAAGAAACAAGGAAACCCCAGCTCCCCAAAATCCATGTCACCCCCATTTTCACCTCCCCAAGGCAAGGGCAACCCCTTATCTGTTGCTTTAACCCCCCCATTTCAAAATGGAGTGGGGGGAGAGTTAAAGGCTGTAATTCAGCTCCTACATTTCTAAATGGGGTTTAGCTGCCTGTCCCAATCACCTCCACTCCATGGAAAAAAGGAGACCCTAATTGTATAGTTATACCCCCCCCTTCATAATTGTCCCTTCAGGAACTACAGTATATATATTCCCTCTTCAACTGGGATGCATTATTTTAAAAATGAGCCATAAAGTGCCTTAGCAAACACCCACCCCCCGCCCCATGCAACTTTGCGAATCAGCAAAACGGACACAGACAAACACACTAGACTGGGTTAAAATAATAATTTCGTGTGTGTCTAGCAGCTTCTCTCAATGTTTAATGTAACACTTATCTGGCAGTATCAGGAACTTTTAAAGTCAGGGGAAAACAAAACCCCACTCGTTGCTCTCTCCCCCGCCCCAAAATGCACGGGAAGCAGAACAAAGGGGGCGAGGAGAAAAATACAGACTCCCCCCCCAAAAAAACCCCTCCTGCGTTTAATACTTTTCAATTGGGAGGCAAGGAAGTCTCCACGAGTCTCCCAAACAATGCCAAAGGAGAGACCCCCCCTCCCCATCCACCGAGGCAAAAGGGGCCCACCAGAGTGAAAACATAAACAGAGTATATACACAGTCTAGGAAGTCCAGGGGGGAAACTTCAGCTACCCATCGCCCGCAATTTTATTTTTTGCCATCAGCCCCCAAACAGGAATTATGTTAATTTTTTTTAAAAAAGAGCTTTAAAACTCTTAAGGCGAAAAGATACCGTTTGGCCCATCTATCTAGATTGCAGGGAGATCCATCTTAAGAAAAACCTTTGCTAATCCTCTCTCAGTCCGAATTCCTATTTTTAAAATCATTGCACACATTAAAAAAAACCCTCTTCTGTCTCTTTCTTCCTCCGCAGCAACAGAACACATTCAATTTCACGTTTTTTTAAACCGTTCCCCCCCCCTCCACGCAGGCAGTCCTCTTATTCTGCTGGAACAACCCACCACCATACACTCTTTTTTCTTTTCGGCTGGGCCTTTAAAATTAAAGAGGGGGGGAAGAGAGAGAATTTCAAACCCCCCCTCCTGACCCAAATACGCAAACACCTGCTTTCCCTTCCTCCCCCCACTTTCATTAATGTCCCCCCCTCCCCTTGTTTTGCAAAATGAGGAAAAAATAAAATTAAGACAAACTTTAGCGTTCTTTCTCTCCAGTCGTCTTTTCTTTCTTTTCTGGGTGCAAAGGGGGGGGGGAAGGCTAATCACCGGAGCTGCTGCTTCTTTTCTTCTTTTTGCAAATTTCTCTTTTTTAAAAACCCAGTTTACGATGTTGCCCACATCGCCGTCTTCTTGTCCCCCCCGCGTCTCTTTCGCCCCCCCTTTCCTCTGTCTGCCTCTCTTTTTTTATTGATTTTGAACAATGGGACCTCTGTCTGTCTCCGATTAAACCACGTGGATCCGCCTTCCTTCCCCCTTTTTTTTAAAAAAAAATCAACCCCCCCTTCGTTGTTATTCCCCCTCCCACATCAATCTTGTAAAGAAAAAATAAAGCACACTCAACTTTCACCTTCTTCCAATAGTAATTAGGAGCAAATTACAGGCTGGGTGGGAATAGCGAGTGAGCTAAAATGATTTTTACTTTTTTTTAAAGAAAGAAACAATTTAAAAAAAAATCTTTTTAATGTTTTGGACTACTTCCTGTGAAGGGGGAAGGGGGGGAAACGGCTTCTTCTAGAGCCCACCCACTAGATGCACTTAAAATATAAATATGAGCCGCCAGTACTTGCTACAGTACAAAACAGAAACACATGTACGGGCAGGGAAGGAGGAAAAAAGAAGGAAAAAACGGGGGTGGAAGGAGGAGGGAGCAGCTATCCAGCAGAGGCCAGCTGTACCAGTACAGCACCACCTTAAGGACTGGATGACTACAAGGTGGGATTTAGATCTGGACAAGGGGGAAAAAAAACGCCAAGTTTTTATATTGCCGTTCCAAAGACTAGGGAAAGGGGAACTAAAATGCTACCCAAATAGCAAGGTTTCTGGTTACACCGCTTGATTCAACACTGCCAGCTAAGAGTTGTGGTGCAATAGGCAACGTTTTCAGGCTCTTTGAAGAGTATCCCCAATCCTTTGTTTTCCTGTCTTGTATTTAAAAACACAACAAACCATGTTCTCCACACCACCAGCTCTGAAATGTGTATTTCATTTTGTTCTTTTATAAGGCTACCCGGAGGGGAAAAAAAGAGGGCAGGATTCCTGCACCTTTAACAGTTTTTTTAAAAGGGGGGGGAGAGGAGGATGAAGTTTCAGCAGGTGAATCCATTACAACCTGCACCTGCTTGAAATTTCTCCTTCTAAACAGCTGTTCAAACTACTGGCACTTACTCCTCTTTGGTTTGGTACTACTTGCATTATGTTTATTTTTATTTTTTAAAGGATGGTGTTTTAGTAATTCAATTGAAACAAATGTGTTGGGCATTAAGAGTACCACAGGGCTCTGTTTGTTATCTTGTGGGGGGGGGGAAGGAAGAGGGAAAAATTAATTAATTTTTTTTTCTTGTTGCAGTTGTCCTGGGTTCAGCTTGAAGCCTGTATGATACCTGTTTGAGCCTAATTAATTTATTCCTGTTCTTCTCTCTAGCTCTTAAGAGCCCAACCAGCAAATGCCATGATTTCAACCACAGGTGAGCTTTTGCTTCTCTCCACACTTTGTGCCTCAGGAAGAGACCTGGAGTTTTCAAAAGTTTGTGAGTTCAAGAACTGCACAGTGAAGGGATTGTGTTATTTTTCAGTTTAAGCAAAAATAAGGCTGGGTGTTACTGCTATGTAACCACTAAAATAAATAGACTAGCTTTTTGAATTCTGCAGAATGCTTCATCACGATGTGTTTTTAAACAGATGGGGAGACGGAGGAAAAAAATCTCCCAAATTGTCTTGGCCAGATTAGTTTTGCTTAAAATAAGTTCCAAAATCAACTCTGCAGAAGGTTTCATCTCAGGGGTGTTGTTTTTCTTGTTTCTTAGTCTTCATTGGCAGAGGTTTGCCCGTCATTCAGTACCTTTCCCAAAACTGTCTGTAGTTTGAATGAGTAACTTTTGCAACCTCTACCTTAGTGGATGTATTGGGTTGGTCTGACTCCTAAACAGCAGACAACTCTGGCTGACCCTGTTTTGTGTTTTTGATAAACAGACTTCTAGAGTACACGGAAATCCATTCACAGCATGCATCAGGATGATGTGGCCCTCCAGGTTTTGTAAGACTTGGTAGTCTTAAAGGGGCCACAAGACCCTTGTTTTCTTCCCAGGAGTAACTAATTCTACCCCAAACCCAGCAGAAACCGAGTAGAAGGAGGAATGCTGGGAGGATTAGAGGGTGTTCTTCTACTTCTAGTAAAATGTCAGGGAGAATGCCACTGACTCATAAATCCCTGTGACTCCAGAACTTTACTCAAAATTATTACTGGCTTGTCCATGACAGGTCAGGAGCTGTCTTGACTTGTTCAGTTGCTAAAAACTCCTTAATGGGTGTGTCTCTGGAATCTCCATCCATTGTCTGAGACCAAACTGGTCTTCTAGTCTTAACACTGATAAACCTGGAAGAAATGAAATTTAATTAAAAATCATGACTTAGGTTAGGACTGGCCTGACTTCAGACTTTCACAATCTATTTATTTACTTGCCAATGTTCATCCCCATCCCCAACCACGAAATTAAAAGATGCCTGCTCTTGGGAGGAAAGCAAGGGCAAACCTTGACAGCATTTTAAAAAGCAGAGACATCACCTTGCCGACAAAGGTCCGCATAGTCAAAGCTATGGTTTTTCCAGTAGTGATATATGGAAGTGAGAGCTGGACTATAAAGAAGGCTGACCGCCAAAGAATTGATGCTTTTGAATTGTGGTGCTGGAGGAGACTCTTGCGAGTCCCCTGGACTGCAAGGAGAACAAACCTATCCATTCTGAAGGAAATCAACCCTGGAGTGCTCACTGGAAGGACAGATCCTGAAGCTGAGGCTCCAATGCTTAGGCCATATCATGAAAAGAGAAGACTCCCTGGAAAAGACAACAGATCCATCTCTATTATGTACTGGTGGTGGTTTATATTTAAAAAGTGGAAGATGAGTGTCCTGAAGAAGGCTTACTAACTGAGAAGTTTAATTCCCAGTTGTTAATGTCAGATGTGTGCAGCTGGGTCATAAACTTTGGACCAACTATGTAGAATTTGAGGGGAGGGAATGCAGACTATTTCATTTTGCAGCTTCCATGGGCATACTGGCTAAGGAATCCTAGGAAATGTGGTTGAAATTTGGGGAAAACTTTTCCAAATTCTGCTCTAAATCCACATCACCTACCGCAGCTCTAGCCAGGAGGGGGGGGAGAGAAGGGCCCCTCTGGCATCTAAAGGACTAGCAACTTTTTTTTTCCATCAGCAGATGCCATAAGGGTGCACCTGAAAAAGAAGGCTGTGATGGAGGATTTTTTGCTGCAGCATCTGCAGAGAGATCTAGAAAGGGGCCAAACTTGGCAAGGCCTGTAGACCTGCACATGTATGTGTGTGTGAATCTTTTCTGCTCTGGTGGTGGGGTCTACCATATCCTTCAGACTGCTGTTTTCAGATATCCGTGCTACTCAAACAAAATAGAGCAACAAGATGATCTTTGGTAAGTGACAAGACTTCTGACTGCATCAAAAGAAGCAGCTCCTCACTTCCGATTTCCTGTAAATGCAAATACATCTCTGCTCGAAAGGAAAGGTGGTGGTGGTGGTGGGGGACCCTTTCCTGTTGCATTTCATTGGGGCCGCCAGAGGGTGCCCAACCCCTTCTACTTCCCAGAAGTGAAACTGTCATTTTTTGAATGAGCTGTCATATCTTCTAACCAAAACCAGCAAATTGCAAACTTGTTGCTTTGACATTGTATTTCCTGAAGTTGAAGAAGCAAGCTAGGTCCATAAAAATTCATGCCAAATGAAACTTTTTTAGTCTTAAATGTCACATAAGACTTTATCATGGATTATGAGGCACAGGGGAAAGGTTTGACCAGGGAAGCCAAGACATTAGAGGAAAGCTCATTATTATTCTGAGGCAACAAAACAGACACAAAATACCATTTGTTTTGCCAAAAGTGAAACAAAGCAACCTAAATGTTGCAAAAAGCTTTTGAAAGGAAAAACTTTCTCTTGCTTTTTGCATCAGTGTCTATTTTACTTCCCACCAACCTAGCAGTTCGAAAGCATGCAAATGCGAGTAGATAAATAGGGACCACCTCGGTGGGAAGGTAACAGCGTTCTGTGTCTAAGTTGCACTGGCCATGTGACCACAGAAGATTGTCTTCGGACAAACGCTGGCTCTATGGCTTGGAAACTGGGATGAGCACCAGCCCCTAGAGTCGAACACGACTGGACAAATTGTCAACCTTTACCTTTAAAGTTACCTTTACCTATTTCACTAGAATACCTAGATTACTATCTGAGTCGCCAATTTTTTCTTAGCTGCAGCACAAAAATGTGTGCAGTTAATGAAGGTTAATGCGATAATTTATTGCTATTTTATTTCTGGCCACCTTGGGTCCTTTTTAAGGAGAAAGGAAGGATAGATATATTTTAAATAAATATTTTTTTTCAGCATAAATTCTATGTATTACTAGTGTAAATGGTTTGGTTTGTACTTAGAAGGGCCTATTATTGTGTTAAACTAGATTTGTTTTGATTTAAATTTTAGTGGGATCCCAGTTAAGGTATTGCCTATAGATGGATTTGCAGTTTTGTTCTGTTCTCATAGATGTTGCTGCTTACCTTTGTTTTTGTATCTACTCAGTTTTGAAATTTTATTTAACACTTCTTGAGAATGTAAGGACAGGAGGAACCCAACACTCAAAAGGTGAACGAAGGCGTAGGGGAAATAACAGCAAGTCCTAGCAGAGCTGACAAACTTTCTTGGCAACAATGAGACTCTGAGGTCTTGAGCGAGAAGGAAATGCTAACATTGCTAGCAATTGAGGAAGTCTGCAGGAAATACTTCAGTCAAAAGATTATAAGAGTAATATGAATGATTTTGTCTCCCACTCCCAGACACTCTAGAGACTTCACTTATCAAAGCCATGGGCCTCAAAAACTTGTGCTAGGAAGTTTTCCTTCACAATTATCATTGAGGAGAAGGGCAGCTAAGAAAGATCAAGACAGTAGATATGATTCCCCAGAATGTGAGTCTCTTAAGGTTACACAAAGAGCTTTAGGGTGGTTTAAGACTAGAGGATGTTGGGCAGCTATTGCATCTTCTTTGCTTAACATATTCTTTTGTAGGGTTTTTTTGAAGTAAAAAATATAGTGATAAAATATGAAAGGCTTGCAAAAGGAAAGAACTTAAGGTGGAGTTTAACAAAATTATGTTTTTGGGACATGATAGCATGGATGAGATCCTGCTCCTGAAAGTGACTTCTTCTTTAAACTTTAAAAATGGGAAGCAGTGCAATTTGCCCTCAGCTGTGGTCCCAGGGGATTATTTGCAACCAACTCAGGTATCATTTCAGCACAAGAAAAAACAAGTGTTTTCATTCCATTTCTACCTCCGAACTTTAAAACCTTTTGAGTGGAGATAAGTGGGGAAGCTGGTTGCTCTGAAGGCAGTGGGGTGTTAATCTGCTATGGATTTGAGTCCAAACTTTATAAAGGATTGTCCAAAGTGCTAATCTGGTTGGGTAGTTCAGAACCTTGGATAGCTCCTGTAAAATTCAGAGTAAAAATGAAGAGGAAAATCATCGCCCCACTGATAAGGGAGCCACCAAGCTACTCTGCATAAAAATGCTGTGGATTCTATTGTGCTGCATTTCTTGAAGATTATGAATTATAATTGCATTTCTTGAAGATTATGAATTATAATTCCTGTTTCATACATTCTCACTTTGTTTTTAGGTTGCACCTTACATTTATTTCAATGAGTGTGACCCACCAGAAATATGCAGTTGAAGCAGCTTTTAATAACTTCATTGAATGATGGAGTAAGAACATAGGTTACAAATTTCAAAATGTATCCTTTGTTCTCATCCTTCTCTCCTTTACCCTCACCTGCTAGTACTTCTTTGTTTACGTCAGAAACAATCCAGCTGTGCTTTTGACACAGGGTGCTGGTGTCACCCAGGCGACAGCCAAATATGTTCCTAGTCCTCATGTTCTTCGGGGCAGCTCCTTCTGCACCTGGTACTGCAATGCCTTTAGCAGAAAACCCTTATTAGGAACATAATATCTTCCTTCCTGCCACTCTTAAGAAGCCCAGCCTGGTAAATGGGAGAGAATACTTTCAGGCATCAAGATCAGCAAAAATCTCCTGCAACTTGTGACAAGGGTAAGCCATAGCAGTCTGTTGGAGAACTGCCCATTTACCGTATTTTTCGCTCCATAAGACGCACCTTTCCATAAGACGCACCAATTTTTTAGGAGAAGAAAACAGGAAAATATAATCTGTTTTCTTTGCTCCATAAGACGCACAGACTTTCCACACCCCTGTTCTGTGGGAAAAAAGTGAGTCTTATGGTGCAAAAAATACAGTATGTCTTATGGTCTGTTTGGAAAATAAAATTAATGAAAAGCATGCATGTGTAAAAAGGCAAGTGGTTAACATTATGCAGGCCATTGAAAAATTCAGATACTTCAGTGGAGGGGGGAAAAAGAAATATAATGCATGCCTTACATTTGTTTTTAAACACATAAGACTTGAGTTGTGCACGAATTCTTTTGTGAGAAATAAAAGCCATGTTCACACATAGTATGTAGGACAAAAATGCAGGGGATACCTGTAGAACTACAATTAAACAGGAGCATTTGGGTTTTTCATATGTCTCTTCTGCCTCTTCTGTCAGAGAAGCCAGGTTTTCCCACCTAGAGGGCGACTCTGCTGCTGTTTTGTATATAAAGTCACCTGTGCTCTGCACCGATGATGTCCTTCTGACTCAGTATTCTCAGAAAGCTTTCTGCCTCACCTGGACTCCAGTTTCTGCTGACGGAGAAGCAACAAAGGAAGGGTGGAGGCATCCATGCCAGGAAGCAGCCTCCCAGCCAAAGAAGAGAAACTAAAAGAAATAGCAAGTGCTTATCATTCAGGCCAAATCTTGAAGCTGGAGTGCAGCAGCAGAGCTACCTTGAAGGAGAGCAAACAGGTAAGGTATTGTGTTTAATTCTGAGTGATGTGCTTTTAATAAAAACTGAGCTATTTATAGAAGAGCAAGGCATCTCTCTCTGTTTCCAAAGAAAATGCAATTGGTTAATTTTAGCTTTCTTAGAAGAGAAGGGTAGAAGAAGGACCTATTGGCTGATGAATAATGGAAGCCCATTGCTGAGAACCCAGTATCATCATTCCTGGTCTGTATGCCCCATATTCAGCTGATGGGGATGGCATCCATTCTCTGGTAGGAAAAGAATGAGAAGAAGCTTTCTTTCCTATCTTGCCCCTGCAGAGTTGTCATATACTTTCGGGACAGGGTTACGAAAAGCCAGGATTAAGTTCTCAACACTGGTCTCAGAGCCAGGCTCAGATTTGGAGCATACGAAGAGTGATAGGACAAAGTGCTTTTTGCTCATAATTGATTAGCTTATCTCCAGGGTTCAAGGTCAGCTCTTTGGAGTTGGATGTAGGGCCCTTGAGGTATTTCTCAGCCTCATTTTCTACTCTAGAAAGTGTCTCTGGAGGCAGAATAACCAGTAGGCAGTGATGAGCAGAGTTGCGGTCATTGGTATAAACTGCCCAATGGCATCCAGAGCCTTGTTTTGAAAGGAGGCCCCAAAAATGCTTTTGCAGGCTCCCATACTTGAAGCCCAAGGTCAACTGTACTGTTGTGGACTACTGGCGACTGATACCCAAAGATTCTAGTCCCTTATATAGGCAAAAAGGTGGTACATAAGTCAATAAACATGGTAGACTGCCTTTGAACTTGGAGCTTTAGCTAAGAAAGAAGCGTATTGGTCATTTTGAAAGGGGCTGAACTTTTTATGGAGTTGGGGGTTTGTGCAGAATGGGACAGAAAACTAGGTGGCCCGGCAGATGTTGGAGGGCTCAAAGCCTGTCCCCTCCTTAGCCTGCAGGGGAAATGGATGGAGATGATAGAATTTACACTCTAAGAAGGTCACAGGTTTCCTCTCTGTTATCAGTCAAGAAAAATGTGCAGATAAAGCTCATGTACAAAATGAGCAATGCAAATTTAGGTCTTCCACTCTTTGAGAATTATCTTGTAACATCCTGGGCCTTAATGCTTCACTCCAGAAATGTTCGTGATCTACTAACAGCTGGTGCTACTGAAGAGGTTAAAAGTGTTCAGTTGTTTTCTTGCAGAGTGCAGGAATGAACTTCTATGGGGTGTTGGTTTAAAAGGGTGTGATGTTTGGCACTCCTGCATTTTTTTTTCTGTTTGTTTTTTGATTTCTACAACAGACCTTTGGATAAGATAACCATGCAGCTCTTTTGAAGGGGGGGGGAAGCAGATTTTATATACAGTATTTTACTGTTAAGGTGGCTTCTTTTGTTTGTTTTCTGAACTGTGAAGATAAAACCTCAAATTGGTCACTTCTTTGCAATGTTCTCTTGTTCTTAAGAATATAGACCCTTGGGACTTCTCTTTTATTCACTTTTGCTGCCTCTTTGTTTTTGGCTTTTTAAGTGTCACTGTGACTCTTTGGTTAGACAGTAACCCAGCTTCATTGTCTGACTACTCTCTGAAAACAATGATGCTCGCTGAATAAAAAAAAAGAAAAGAAGAAAACAATTTTTAAACCATGAAGTCCATTCAGGTAGGGCCTGCTGCTGATACCAGTGAGCCAAGAACCAAAACCTTTGTCCGAGCCAATACCCAAAATCTTTGATATTTATAATACATTAAATCAGGACCTACCTAAAAATTTTGTTCAGTATCATAGGTTGTAATAATGATGACTTTTCCTGATGGGTTTAAATTTTGAATTTTCTTCTTGAGGAGTCATGATGGTAGAATCAAGATCCGTGGAGGCCCAAGGTTCACGGAAAGAAGCCAGAGGTCTTGACTTATTGGTTAATATGAGGAAGAAACCAGTTCAGAGTGCATTGAGCAAAAGTCCCTTGGGCTGTCTTTGGAGCACAAAGAGCACCAGGCCTGTGGTTGCAAAACGCCTTGTCAAGGTCTCCTTCGGAGAACCAGACGGGGCTGCTCAGCTCACTTATCTAGTTCTCCCCATTGCCACCGCACACCCAATAGTTGAAGGTGAAATATTTCATAACTGTTGATGGTTGAGTCCTGTGGAAGATTTCAGTGCCGGATTATAGGTAATGCTTTTATTGACTAGGGAGGGTGGGCAGGCTTTGGTGTTGTCTGTATAAACACAGTGAAGGGGTGGGGTAGGAGTGAGGAATGAAAAGCGTGCATTGGAGATTTCCTAGGAGCAGGTAAGTGAGAAAATAACAGATAAGTCTGTGGCAATTAACAACTTTGTCGTAGCTCTTTATACTGACAGAGGCAATCCTGGCCTACCAACACAACCCGCTCCAATGTTTTACATCTTTCCATTCCAATAACGTTGCTTTTATTATTTTCTTCCAAATGAGGAGCTACCTATTCTAGCAAGAACAATAAATGTGACAAATTGGAGGTGGGTGGGGTGAGTCTTGATTAAAGCTTAGAAGTAACTAGTTACAAATAAATGGTCACTTGTAATTCATTCCTTTCTTCAATGAACAAGGTAGAATCCCTCTCCGCCCACTACTTCTTGGTGTGAGGTTAGGAAACATACCTGCTTCAAAAAGCTGGAGAAGGGATATATAACCACTTTCCAGTGTTGTCTCAGTATCTTAAGCAGGGTGATTGACTAGGTACATGGTGAGTCCTCCCGGCCCCATTATTCCCTCCCCCCCTTTATAAGAACACTGAGGTTGTCTATTGGCAGAATTTCAAAACTCTTTGGGACAAATTTGGTCTCATGAGGACCTTCTGTATTGAAGGAATATAGTTCACTTTGAGCTGCAGCCTCTTTCTCTTGGCACTGAAAGCAGCCAAGCTTAACTGTGTAATCCAAGTGGTGTGTGTGGGTGTGGGTGCACACATGCACAGATAAACCTCTTTGCTTCTTCAGATGCCACAGCACTCCTCACCTCAGGAAGGTGCGCCCACAATGAGTTCCAATCATTTGCTTTAGATTCATTTTAAAAGTATTAGTCAACCCCTCCTCCTCCGCACACCTATGCAACATTTTGACATCCTCCCTTGCTTTTCAGAAAGTTCAAATTGCACGTAATCCATGTTTTGCTGACACGGGTCTGGGATCTCCCCTCAATGAAGTTTCTGAAATCCTTGTTGATTTCCCAACCAACAGATTATTATTTAAAAGCATATATATATATATAACGGTCCTTTCAATGTTAATACCAAGTGTGCATAGCAGCAGTTTTCCCCACATAATCTTATCACACCTGCTTTTAAGGGTGATATGACAGGGGAGTGCTGGAGATGGGTTCAGTGTGTCAGGGAGGCTTAAGGTTGTATGTGGCGCTGCTGACAGATAACTGCAGAAAGCCATTGATAGAGGGAGAAAGGGGGAAGGGCCTATGCCTATCAAAGAGATCCAACCCCCCTCACACCCCCCGGTATATCAAAATGACTGTCAAGCACTCCAAGCTATCCGCTCTCTAGAATTATTCCTGGATAATTAGCTTGTGAAAGTAATTTTGGTCTTCCAGGATTCCACAATTCAGCATGGCTGTTGGCCCTTAATGGCTGGACACCCAGGAGTCTAGGTCTAAACTTCAAATGACCCTCTTTTGGGCTTGGTTTCTGAAGTGGCAGCCCTTTTTGTTCTATCCCAACTAAAACAACAGAGTCTTTGGATTCATGTGCCGAGTAGGGAGCTGGACTTGACAGCCTTATAGGCCCTTTCCAACTCCATTATTCTATGATTCTACTCTAGTGCCTTAAAAGCCAACACATTACTTATAACACAAAGCTTCCTGGGTGAAATTTCATTTTCTCAAAGGGAAGGTCTGATCTGTTTGGGTCCGGGTCCCCTGCCCATAACAGTCAGGCATAAGTGAAATTGACGATCCCCAGTCATTTATACCAGGATCGCTTAAGAGATTGACAGATTTCAAATTTATTTAGCTTCCTTTGAGGTTTATTAATTGGTATTTATTTTATCTAATACTCATTATCTGATACCTTTATTACAGCTGGATGTTTTTATCCTGCTGTTATCTGCCTTTGAACTTTCTTGAATGACAGGATATAAATAGAACAATAAATAGATACAGTACCATGTGCTCTGTAACATATGAATGTAAGAACAGCTACAATACCAGATTCTCAAGATGAGAACTGTCCTGTCACTACAGTATTGGAAAAATTACTTATTTGGAAACTGTCCAGTCCTATTCCAAATTTCTGCTCTCCAATGAAAATCCAGCACCATCACCAGCTATAGCTGGTATACAAAGCATGTGCTTGACCGCTGGGTTACTCCACTTTCCTTGTGCTGCTTCTAGCCTCTAGTACATATAGTATGTTCATTAGCACTAAGAGAGCTGCTGGTTCAGATGGATTTTTATAACTGTAGGGAATGCATATTATGGAGCAGTTCCTTTTCTTTTCCCTCTTTGATGAAAAGAAACATTTAAAAACTGACTTGATTTTTAAAATCCAGATGAATCAGGCTTTTTCAGAATAAAGGAACAGAAAAAATTCTTATTCTGCCAAAAGAATATTATTTTTGCAGAATAAAGGAACAGAAAAAAGCTTAGAGGAGAACAGCCCGGTAGCCATGAGAAAGAGTTGAGAACTTGGAACCGGCAAAATGACCTCCAGACAGGGGTGTTACGACAGAAATATGGCCTGCTTTTAGTCTTTGTAACATTATGCATTATGGGGTAAGCAGGCATAGCACTGTAGCCCCAATTTGTGAAACAACAAACTTTCCACGGAATCCAAGTCCCTTCATTGTTTGCATCATGTATATTACATTTTCTAAAAAATTCAGATCATACCTTTCAAAAGCCAGGAGTTTTAACATACCATTGAAATAATTTATGAATTGCTAGCCATAAAAAAACTCTTAAGTTGGAAGTTTCCCGTCATCACTGGCATAGGGCCAGTGAAATTCAGAATGCCGGCTCTCTTTGTACCTGGTGCCAATCCAGAGTGACAGCATC